GCCCCTATATGCAAGGCGCCCCTATATGCAAGGCGCCCCTATATGCAAGGTAACGTTACCAACACTGCTGCAACAATTTTGTAATTACCACCTAAAACGGCGTAGAATAGTGCAGATTTTCCATCATCGACAAAATCAACATCGACTCCGGCCTCGATCGCTGCAAGAACCTCATTTTCATCATTTGTGAAGATAGCCCTAAGAAAACTGAGATTTTTCTCCCTTTGCGACTGATTGCATTCACCTGGTTGTGTTTCTCCATCTCGATCAAGACGTATAAGGGATACATATGGTATACGGCAATATTCTTCAAACCCGATCAGTTGAGCGCGACGTCGAACGCGCCTTCCAGGCAGACGCCACATTTGTGCAGTTAATAGTCGTAAAGCTTATTAGTAGAATGAGTAAAGACGGAATCATGACTGCTATTCCTTCGCTATTGACTTGAAAAAAAACCCATCACATAGCTTCCGCCTTCATTATTATATACTCCGAGCCAAATTTGGTTTTTTTGCACCTTAAGTCTTGATTCTTTCGTAGTCAATGCATCCTCAGTGCATCTCTACTTTATTACGTCTTCAGCCATACGCTAGAGAAGAATGTTGAAACGAAAAAACTTATATAAACTTTATCTCTCTCGACCAAAACCGAAAGCAATAAACTTCAGTTAGAGACGCCGCCACACCAACAGATCATATGACAGATAATGTGACAGATCATGTGACTTATCAATTCTATGGAAAAATTACTTCCGGGTCCAAGATCGGTCCGAGACCTTTTGGATTTTTCTTCATGACAGGTTTATTTGTACATGACAAAAGTTCTAATTTATTCAGGAGAAGTTTACATTCCTTAGAGCATTGTTCGCTTTGTTTTAGTGATTTTTGTGAGCGGTTGGACTCGGAAATGTATCACAAGTAAAAGCTCCTTTAAGAGCACAGGGAGCCCAATTTATATAAAAGTGCTAGACAAAAATATAATCTAGAACTATATCATTTATTTTAAAAAATAGTTAGAGGCTAAGAAGTGCCAAATAATACAAGCGAATGGAAAACAAAAGTGAAAAACACAGTAGAATATATTTTCACATGCTTTTATTTTCCTATATGATTCCTCTATGTAAAAATATATTTTCGACTGGAAGAAATGACTTTTTACATACCCACAACTATATCAACCATAATTTCACAAACTCCCGATAAAACCTGACCAAAATGGTCCCTCTACATAGTTGGTCTAGCACTTTTATCTAATTTGGGTCTCTGTGGTTTAGGCGTGTCTGTCAAATGAAACCACATTATTTCTATTGATAAATTATTTAGAGAAGGGTAATATCCCTATTTAAGCCCCCTAGCCCCCCC